GGTGAATGAAAAAAAAATTAATAGAGGTACCGAAATTTACCATAATTCATATTATACAAGTTTAATAACTAACAATACATCAAATCGCAGATCAACGATTTATTTTTTTTTTTTTAGTTATTCATTTCTCTCTACTATTTGCATTTCAAATTTGTATATGGCATACTAGAGATTGTAGATATCGGACTAACCATAAATGAACACATTCATATATTAAAAAAAAAGAAAAAAAAAGGTTCAAAAATTCAAAATTAAATTTGTTAACAACGGTCATTGTATTTACATTTATTCGCAAATTTGAATTATAAAACACGAGTATAGTATAGGTATTTTGTTATGGGGATTGGAAGCGGTGATTTTCTGTCTTTGTCTAACATACGTGGGACATACAATACGCCTGACAAAAWTTAAGGTACTTCTAGTTGTTCGATTTAAAATATGTAAAGATGTGTTAATTGATATACAAGTTTACTTTGCATCGGTCGAAGCACTTTTTCAGTTGTAGCAATATTTTGATAAGAATAAATATTTTAAATTTTATAAATTTGTCAATTTTTTTTATTAAATATATTAAAAATATTAAAAATATGCTTCGACCGATGCAAAGTAAACTTGTATACCAATTCAAAAATCTTTATATATTTTAAATCGAACAACTWGAAGTACTTTAATTTTTATCAGGCGTATTGTATRTTTCACGTGTGTTAGACAAAGACAGAAAATCACCGCTTCCAATCCCCTTAAAATGAATTTAAAAAAAATTAATAAAGTCGTCAGCATTCATATAATCATATCGTTCGACGTTCATATAAGATCGACTTACAGCAAGTAATAATTCTTATTCACTATTCAACGATGTATTACAACCATACCTTACCTTACCAATAAAATTATTAAATATCCCTACCTGGTGGCTAGTATAATATGACAACTGACAAGTAGCAGGAATAAAACATCATRCCATCTGAAAAGTAATTGTTACAAATAGACCTCGATTTGTTGTAGTTAGTTGAGTAATGAGTTAGTTCGTAACACAATATTTATAATAGGTTTTTTTAGATGCTAACAATATTTTATAAGAAACAATTTTCAATATTTCATAACACATATAATACTATAATCTTGTATTAAAAAGTAAATTCTCCAAACTCAACATTTCACGTTTTATCGAAAGAAATAAAAGTAATAAAATATGCTCAAATGTTAAGCAATTACACATTTCGCTGCTGTTTAAATTTAAAGCACTCATTTCTCAAAATATATTTTTAAACATCGAATTAAATTTGAAAAATGTAAAGCTTGTTTTAAGGTCATTGAGGTGACTTAACAGTTAACGCAAGAAGTACTTGTCTTGTTTGTAATATATTCAAACCAAACTTGTAAATCATAGGCGTAACTTGGGCTCTTTTCACGTGGGGGCAAAAACAATTTTTGCAAACCTCTACACATTTTCATTTCAGAAGTTAAAAAAAAGTTGTAAAAACATCTGTCATAGTTCTATATATTCTATACGAATAACCGAACCGAACCTATGACATATTCTATACGACCGTTATCAGTTATCGCTTTAAAATTCTTACATGTGCCATAGAGTAATATTACTCTATGGCTGCTATTATATACGTCATTTTAGGTATTATTATTTATTATAGGCCTCAGAACAGCCTGAAATTAACTAATATTATAGTTCAGTTTGTGGGGTCAATGCCCCAACCAATTTTAGGCTGTGGGGGCAGTTGCCCCCATTTGCCCCCGCCAAGTTACGCCTATGTTGTAAATCCTATATCTTAAGATGTTGTCAYAAATAATCTCAATTTTACTAAGTAGTAGTAAATTGATGAAATCYCATGATTCCCATACTACGCTGGTTAGGTTAAGTTAGCAGAGGATCAAGCCGTAGGTCAGAATTCGATTATCTAATTGCTTTCTGGGAGGAATTCTCAGATGGRTGGCAATTTGTAATTGGTCTCCTTAGTCTTCATGTTTTTTATATAACCGCAAGTTGATGTATCATCAAATTTAAATATAAGAATATTATCTGTATTTGTAGGTACGTTGGTTTTTTTTTTTACGAAATTTCATTATTTTGGACAAACTCGAGTTGGGTCCCAGATTTCAAAAACAGTTGGGTCYCGGTACACTTTATCGAGTACATTAGTTGGGTCCCGGTATATTTTTTGAGGTATTACATGAGTTGGGTCCCAGTATATTTTTTGGAGCACATGAGTTGGGTCCCGGTATATTTTATGCAAAGGTGGGCAATTTAATGAAAATAATTGAATAAAATTAACTTAACTCAGTAAAAAATTTTATTAATTTTTTTTCCAAGCCATAATATTCATAAGTCATAAATTGCATGAGTATTTTGGTTTGTATAAACATTTACCAAGTTGAACTTTACTGTTGTAAACTTAAAACTTAAAATTATTATTATAGTACATACTACATTATTACTATTGTTAAAGTATTAAGTTAAAAGCCACATCTATTCATCGTGTTATTCGTTTTGTTAAAATAATATACAATATATTCAGTGCCAGTGGAAGGCGTGTGCGATCGGCACTGACAATATTACCGCGGACCCAATTCGAGTATTATCAAATATTACCGCGGACCCAATTCGAGTATTATCAAATATTACCGCGGACCCAATTCGAGTATTATCAAATAATACCGCGGACCCAACTCATGTTTTTTTTAAGGGATCAAATATCTCGGGACCCAACTCGCGTTTTCCCATTATTTTAAGGGAGTGATGAATATGTATTTAACTTACTAATACTGTAATTTAAAAATTCTCATAACTCACATTAAGTTAAAATAGGTAGATGTTGTAAATAATTGTCATACAAACATAGATAATATTCACAATGTTGTATTAGGAGGTAGGTATATTAATTATTCTAAAATATTTTTACACTGCACTTAAGTTTAAAAATAGTTTTACACATTCTAATATTAAAGCTGAGGCTGTTAGGTTAATACGAATTTGGTTCAGATAGACGTAAATTTGTCATAAAGGCACCCAACCCAGTAGTACCTAGCTATATGTAGCTATGTCGTACGTTTATTGACGGAGTCATCCGTGGATACATACAAGTAGATATTGCATCATCTTTAACAGTTTCAAAAACGTTTATTTAAATTTAAAATGCTTGACTACTATTTTCTCGATACCAAAAAAATACTCCAATTTTGGTCGAATCGAAAATTGATTAAATGATAATATATCTTGTATAGTTTTCCTTTATGTTTATAAAATGTAGGTAGCAAGATAGTAAACAAAATTATCTCTTCAATGTTTCTACCATAAATTGTAGGGCTATTWAAATTCTAAAATACCGCAATAATACTAATTTCACATAMAAATATAGATACTAGTTAAGTACAATAAAACATAATTGTACTCAAAAGCCAAAATCATAGGCCTAGGTAAATATACATAAATAAATATAGTAAAGAATATATTAGGAGTTCAGACTCTAAGAACGTGTATAGGTTAGGTTAGCTTATGGGTACCTTTTTTTTTTTGCGTAAATGCAGGCAGAGCACAGCTTTCTTAAGAATTTCCACTAGCATAACTTATTGCAGTAAAAGTATAACAACATCCTAACATACATCATTAAAAGCACGCCTGAGTACTAGAAGCAATTATCCTTATTCCTTAGCGTTTCAATTATCACGTTTTAACACCCTCATCACTTATCAAAAAATTTACAATTTTCAGAACATGATTTTATTTAATATAAACAAAAAAAAAAAATACATCTAAGTAAAAATTTTAATTTCGGAATTTTCCAACAATTATGATAGTTTAAAAAATATATTCTTGGTAAATATTTGGATAAAAAATAAACTATTTTTTTCTACATTTCTAAATAAAAGCTAATTAAGTGTCACAACCCATTATTGGCATTATATTAATTTATATACTGGAGTGAGATTTGGATATTTAATTATGGCACATATAACTTAATCTTAATTATTTATAAAATAATAACGCTAGACAAGTATAAATTATATTTTATAAGTAAAAGAAAACCTTATGTATAGTTCACATTTTATTATCACATAGTATTATAGGACAATTTTTTAACTTAAACAATTGATAAAAGTACAAATTCTTATAATGGCGGTAATAATATTAGATAGGTATTAAAAATATAATAGTGATGTAAATTAAAAGATAAAATTGAAAAATAAATCGTAGAAAAATAAATTAMCAAAAAAATATTGAGATATTTTTTGAGTCTTAAATATTATTACATATAAGTGTGATCAAATTTTTGGTTAGGTACTGAAATGAAAAATCGTTAAAACCTTTGGTATAATATACCCAATGATTATTACTCATATTGTAATTAATTATTAATTACAAATGATTCGATCCAATACTAAATGTAGACAACGTCTATATTCAAACAGTTAGAAACCGATAAAATGTGTARAATATATCCATAATTATTTCAGTAAGCTGTCGAATARCAAAGAAAATCAGAAAACGACAAAAACGACAAAAACATGGTTATAAATAAGAAGAACACCGAAAAATARTTAAATCAATAATGAAATTTTTAATTAAACGTACCAATTTTGYGCCTACATCTCCGACCAAAATATTGWGGTGAAAATAGAAATTGCGAATATAATGGACACATTTCAGTCAAAAAGTACTGTCTCATAAATTAAATTTAATTAGCAAATTAAATGCTAAACAGTAAGCTAAAATTCTTCGAGCAGTTCACCATTGTGAAGTAGGTAAATTAATTATGAAATGATATTTTACGACACAATTTAAAAATTTTAACCAAACTAAAAATAATATATTTAGTTTAATAAAAATTAGTGATGGATGGAACTGTTCGAATATCGAACAGAACTATCAAACATATTTTATTGTTCAAAAATCTAACTTGAAAATATTCTTATGCAAACAATATCTAAAATTAATTTTCTCTACTTTGTAGTAATTAAAATTTAAATATCATGATACTATATTAAAATATTTTTTTTTTTATCATATTTATTTTAATTTGTACAATCTGTAACATAAATTTACAATAAGCACAATGGAGGGTTATATAGTAGGTCGTGGTTGGTTTGGTTGAAGAAGCTATTCAGTAATAGCACTTCATGGCGAGATAGTTGTGATTAGTGGGCTAGTTAACTATAAAAAATAGTCCACTAATAGATCACGACACCACCTACATTTCAAACATCGGCCAGGGTCACCCGGGATTGTTCGTGTAGAGAAGTTGATAATATAATTTTAAGTATTATTTTTAAATTATTACGATTAGATATGATAAAATAAAATGCTGAGTTCGAATTTTAGTTTGATAAAAAATGTTAATAGTTCCGTTCGGTACGACACAAAAAAATCAGGTTCGACCCATCACTAATAAAAATGCCTCCACGTATAGTGTTAGGTATACACTTGGGCCGGAAATGTCAAATTTATGTCAATAATCCAGTTTTAAATAAACCTCCGCCGACTTCAACACTCACTATACATATATATATACCGTCTATCGTTGCTGTTGGCTAAGCAAATCTTGACCAGACACTAATACTTAGGAACAGGAAGACGCCGCACTCGAAGCCGACGACAAAATGGGTTCGACCTCATGTACGATGCACAAGTTGTTGACGACCACGATGTTCGAATACACCTCTTGCTCGATAAGCACCTTGATGGGCATCCACGAGATGAGCGCCAAACCACCATGATCGCTTGGCACCTGGTACCAGACGACTTTAGCCAACACAGACAGCCAGTCTCCGTGATGAGCATGGTTGAACTTAAGAAACACGAACGCGTGGSCGTACAAGCGGTCGGGCTTGATCAAGCCGTACATGTTGAACATCTTGGCCACAGCGTAAACGTTGGCGACGGACAGCTGTGTGTACAGTGGATAGCCGACGATGATCAGATCGTCGCCGTCCGACAGGGCTTTCAACGCGTTGACGATGGCCGCCAGGCACCTGTGCTGTAAGGTGGTGTTATCGGAAGCGTGTTTATCGCAAACGTCCGTCAGATCGCAAACGACAGCGCGTGACCGTTGGATCGTCGCGCGGTAGTGCGACAGCCGGCATTCAGCGTCCGCAGCGACGCCACTACGAGGGAACCTGGACAGCACTCGATGCCGGTAGTTTATCAGCGCTTCGCTGCAAAACTTGGAACCTTTGACCACGGTCACCGGTTTCCCCATGCGAAACGCTACGTCCGTTAGCCGGTATATGAGATTCTCGGCACTGTACCAGACCACGTCGTGCACATACCGTTGCACTGCCCTCCACTCGTGGCACTGGGCTACCTCCCGATACAGCGCGCCCGCCTCCTGTCCGGCGTCCATGTTCCGGATGCGCGTCTTCTCAGCGTACGACATGCCACGCGGCTTGCGGCCAATCCGCAACAGCTCCCAGTTGTGCTTGTGGTTTAAGTTGTTTAACGACAACGCCGTCAGCTCCTGTGCGTACCGGATCGACCGCAGACCGAACCTGGCAATGAACTCTTGGCACATGGATACCTGTACCGGCTTCATTTCGCGGTAGAGCGCCTCCTTGCACGACAGCCCGTCCACGTTTRCATTAATGGTGCGCATCTGCATGTGCGCAAAGTGTTCTGCACACTCAAGCAGTCGCTGTCTGAACTCGACCGGTATCAGCGACAGCGGAAACATGCAGGCGCCTCCCCGGCCCGGATCCCGGTGCCGGTCGTTCGCATAGTACGCCTGCACATACGGTATGGCCACCGACCGGCCTCTGTAGCCCTTACACACAACGTACACCTCCGAGTTTCCGGGCTTACTGGTCGCCGGCTTCCTGAGCACCACCGACCGGAACAGACAGCACAGTAGGAAAATTCGACAGATAGTGTTGCACTCGAAAATAGTGAACACCTTCAGCACTAGCGATCCGTTGTCCCGGAGTACGCTGAGCGCTACCATTGTCTCGTGATCGTGCAACCTAGACACGACTGTCTCCTGCTCACCGGGGTCATCCGAACAGTCAATGCTCCCATCGGCCGTCACTAACCACGCACCCTTTCCGCTAAACCGCTCAAGCACCGTTCGGTACAGGTGTTCGGCGTATCCCGATTGAAATATGTCACCAGTGTAGTCCGGACCGAATTCCCAGTTCGGGAGTGTGTGCAGTATCAGCCGGTCGTCGGTCACGATGTCCGGGTGCCCGTTAGACTCGTGGTACGGATTCAAGGTCATCGCAAGCCAATCGAGCCGCAGCTCTTTGTGGTTGATTGCCAGGAAATGGTTGAGCGCCGCGATGAACGCACCGGGCGCCTCGCACAGATGCACGCTGGTGAACGATGTACCACCTTCCTCGCGGATCTCGTCCGACAACACCAGATCCGAGCTGCACGCGATCTCGTAGAACTTGCACCATGCCTGTGTCAAAAAATCTGGCCGCACGTGCCTCCTCACATGGTTCACCACCAGGCAAGCCGGATTCATTTTTCCCGTGTGCACATGCCACGCATCCAAATCAAAATTGTTCAGCTTCTGTTTGGTGCGGTTCAGCAATGTTTTCAGTTCTTGGAACTCGTTCAACTTCCACTCGGGCTCGGTGTACATGGCGTTGGCGTCCGGAAGTGTCCACCCGGGTTGTAGAACGAACATTTTGCAAAACTCCTTGTCGTGTGCATAGGACTTCTCTTCCACCTTTTTTACCTCTTCTAGGAAAAACATTTTTTCTGAGCACTGTCCTATACTTGATTGCATTTTTCACTTGTGTAGAAAATTACCGTTGTAACTTTTGGTTTATTGTTGCTAGTACAGTGACTCATATTTCTATCTAAAATCACGAAACAATGGTGTAAAATCAATCATCCAAAAGTTGCTTCTAAGGCATTTCAATAACAACACTACTATAGCGCAGTAATTATATKGAGCTTAACTATKAGCAAAAAGAAAGTGTTTTGTTCTCTGTACTCCATTATATTGAACGAAAAAATCAAAACAGTATAAAATAAATACAATGATTTATCGTTTACAGTTGCGTATTTTCAAACTTTTTGTGGGGGGAAAAACGCTATACACTACGTTTAGGTATAATAATAATGTATACATATATATACTCAGTGAATTTTAATAATGGAAAATACACATGAGTTATGATTTAATAATTATACTATTCCAATTATATTATATTTCACTATTATTATGAACATAAATTAATCGTTTTTTATAAAAAAAAAGTAGAAGCAAGTTTTTTGTGACGTTAAAAAAATTTTCTTGGAGGTTAAGACCCGTGGACCCTCCCCATAAATACACAGAATTTATATCACAGAACACCCTGAAAAATTCAAACAACGTAAAACAATCAGTATAGATACAAATAATGTGGATTAAAATTAATAATTAAGCGATAGTCTTAATCAAATATTAAAACTCACAACATGTAATTATCTTTGATTAACTCAAATTTGCTACAATGAGCATGGATTTGATAAAGAAGACAAAATAATATAGTGAGCTCAAAAACAAGTGCTATTATTAGATGCAAATTGTAGGATGTAAAATGTTTTTGTTTRAAGTAAAATAAGGAGGAAGGAATGCTAAATTTGATCGGCCTTACCCACAAAAAATTTGAAATTGCATGAATGGTAATTACCTATTGTAAAAATATTAAAAATCAAAAGTAAAATATCAGATATTTAATCAATTTAAAATGTTAGATGCTTAATATTAAATTAATGATTTAAAGCTCATAAAAATTGAAAATATTTGTAGGTAAAATGTCTAAGACATTATAAACTACAGTTATAAATATGTTGATTATTATAACAATTCAACAATTATACCACATTAAAAAAATATACATAATGAAAGAATTAAGTAGTATAACATACTCAAAACTTTAGCAATGTAGTGGTGAATAATATTTAATTTAAGTTTCTTAGAAAATTACAAAGCCCGAAAATCTAAATGATTAATGAATATGTACCTATCATTTATTTTAATTTTTAAATGTAAGAAATAATTAAAAACTACTGTATACATGCAAATAGTATATAATATGTCAAATTAAAAAATTCAAACAATTAATGTGATTAATTGTTTTGTATCATTTATAATACATGTATCAGGAGCATAAGCATGTTCAGAACCATTTTAGAGATTTAACMAAAAGTAATTTAATGGAAAGTTCCTTAAACCCACATAAAATCACTACATAGAAAAATTCTTGTTTTTGAGTCAGTTTAAATTTTAATGTCCGAATATGTAAACTGTAAGTTAATAGTCCTATGATTATGGTCTGGCATACGTTGATAACTATACATAAATGAACTATAAATATGAATCGGCTGTCAAMAATCAATCTTCTGCTAAGAACATAAAATCTTACTAGGCTTTTTAGCACAAATATTGRATACAAATGAATGTTCAATTCAAAAAGTAGGCGATAAACATTTAAATATTAAGAATTTTGATAAATTTGCTTCAAAATGTATGATTAACATAAAATCTAGAGGATAATGTATTTAATAGCTATGTAATAAGTAATAAGTATAATATTATGTTTTAAATGTAAAGGAATACAYAAAAAACATAAATAAATTCRATAGTAATATACCTAATTTCATTTAACTGAATTGTTTTTCACTGCAATTACCATTAAAGTGTAAGTAGGTATTTAGCATATCAAAAGAAATTTAAATAATATTATAAGTAAGTACCTGTGAAATGATATTATTTAAATAACATTGGTTGGTAAGATTATCTTTGTTAAAAATAAATAAAAACATAAATAACTAAAATAACAATAAACTGATACTATTCTGAAAAAAATTAATGAATCAAAATACTTATAACTGAGGAATAATTAAACTGGTAATAATTGTTACAAGTYGTAAGCCCTATAAAAACAATATTTACAACTTACGAAGTTATGAGGCTTAAAAATAACGAAATGCCTTAACATCAACRTGTAACAAAAAACTTCTAACTTGGTAACTTCTAACATCCAAGGCTAATATAGTGTTAACTTAGAAGTGATTACTGATTATAAATGATAATRATACATATTTTGATAAAATTATCAACACGTGGATATGGACAAATGGTGAAAAATTCAAAAATGTATTATATTTTGATAACTCCGCAAAGCATGTGATAACTGCAGATTAATGACAGAACGAAACCACAGAATATTCTGTGACGAAACTACAAAATCTGTAACTTGTAAGATTGTAATACAATTGTATGAGTATTAATGTGCTATGACATGTTCAATATTGTAAAATTATGAATAAATGATGTATATTTAAGTAATCGTCAATTGAGCCATCGAGCCATGGACAATGACCAATTGCCATAGTTCCATCAATCATAATTATTTGGATACATGAATTTAAACTAATAGTATTGTTATTATTAACATAGCTTTCAACCCGGTATTATAAAGTTTAATTTTTAAATCATTTAAGTTTTGTTATATTTTTGTTTTCTGGATTTTACGTTACTATGAAACGAAATCGAAATGAAGCTAATGGATTTGAAATGTGGGTACGTAGAAAAAAAATATAAGTTTAATGTATGAATAAGGATATATTAATTCGTGGTTCAATGGTAATACAAATTTTTTTAACGATTCATTTTTCAGGGAGGTTATATGGAAGCTAAAAAGACCAAACTTGAAAAACAATTCACGGAAAAAGCTGCTAGTAATAATAATCACGTGAAAAGTCAAATTTTTAAGGGCATTTCGATCTTTGTCAATGGTTATACTCGTATGTAAAACTATATTTATTTATATTATAAATATGAACTAAGTACCTATGATAGTAGTTTGTTTGTAGATTTAGCATTTTAGTTTTAAGCATACAAATAAAACATTATTCTAGTCCATAATTAATTTTGTTTAAGCTGTTATTTAAATTAATATGGCACCATTATGCACTAAATGTCTATTACTCTATATAACTATTTTTTTATCATCTACATTATTCTAGCATATAAATAAAATATTTATACTGTAGTATTTGAATGTAAAATAATTAAATCTATTGTTTTTCATTAAATTAAATATAACTATTATTATTATAAACTTGGTAACAGTGATAAGTATGTTACATTTTCTATGTTATTGTTGAGCTACAATATTTTTTAAATCAATGTTTTTTTTGTTCTTACTATTTGATATTTTATTATCTTATTCTACCTATTACATTAAATGCTCATACTTATAAACTTAAAGTTACTAATTTATGGGTATGTGAATTAATTACATCTTTAACATTTTAAATGTTTTTATTACTCTCTAGTAAAAAATATTCAACACAATTTACTTAGATTATTGCACTATCTAAGTATGTATTTTGTATGTTTTTTAGTACCTTCGGCTGACGAATTGAAACGTATAATGATGGAGAATGGAGGGGTTTACCATCATTACCACAGACCTAATATTACTACACATATAATAGCAAGTAATTTACCCACTGCTAAATTAAAACTTCTCAAGCAGTTTAAAGTTGTAAAACCTGAATGGATATCTGATAGTTTAAAAGAAGGAAAACTTTTAAACTATGGTGGTTATTTACTTTTTAATGACCAACCTAATCAGCCAAAAATTGATTTCCCAATTCGCGCAAAAAATGCTTCAGAACCAACATTTCTATCAGAATTCTACAACAATTCTAGATTGCACTTAATATCAACTATGGCAACAACGTTCAAACATTTAGTAAATGATACACGAAAACGGAATCAAACAGATTATCCAGGACGATTACGATTGAAAAAATGGATAGAACAAAATGAAGTTAAAGATTTTGTATCGCATGACTCTGAGCTTGACTCAGGCAAAATAGTAATGCATRTTGACATGGATTGTTTTTTTGTGTCTGCTGGCTTGGTTGAAAGACCAGAACTTCAAGGTCTGCCTGTAGCTGTTACACATGCCAAAGGAAATTTGTCTAAGAAAAGAGAAGGAGTAGATCTTGGAGCAGAATTTGGTTTGTATGTTAAACGCTGGAGAGGCGACGACAATGAAAATGACGAAGAAAATGATGAAGAAGAAATACGAGAAATTAAACCTCGATCAACTAAAAGAGATGGTATTAATGAAACAGATTCAATGGCAGAGATAGCTTGTTGTAGTTATGAAGCTAGAAAACTTGGTATTAAAAATGGTATGCTGGTTGGTCAAGCATTAAAGATGTGTCCAGCTCTAAAATTAATACCTTATAATTTTGAGCAATATAAAAGAGTTGCTCATACATTATATACTCACATTATGAATGAGTAAGTAACATCTAATATTAGTCAGTTGAACGCCAGTGGTGTCAATGCATTGTTAACATACAATGACCCATTTTTTAGTATTAAGTCTTTTTTGGTAGCTATCGGCCATTCGTTACTGCATCAACTATTGCGTAAAATTTACAAATTTTCAAGCAACTACRAACACCCACAGGTCTAATTACATCGGCAAATGACGTTCGCATATAAAATTGACACCGGTGTTCAATGTGATAAATAAAATTAAAAACTATTATTTTTATTTAACTTAATTCAGATTSAAGATTCTATATTTAACATATATTATATCCTAGAGAGATAATCTCCATAGTTGTAATTAGATATACCTAGTATCATTATTATATTTTACTTATAAAGATAACTTATAAATGTTTTTCATTAAAATTTAAATATACCCAATTTTAGCAGAAACCAATAGATGCCCTCAAAAAATTCTGCCAAACACTCAAGTATTTCAAAAACCTACAAAAACCTACAGTCCCTAAACAGGGACTACAGTACAAATCAACCTACAGCTAATGGTCTCAGTTGCCAAAGCTTAAAAAATTAAAAACTGTCAGCCTAATCATCTCAATTTTTAGTTTTTTAAAAATTCAATGAATATAGAGGCTTAGCCAGTTGGTGGGGTTTRTAGGAGACTGTGTTTTTATATCTCATATTGTAATATTATTAAGTTGATTGTTTTTTAAATTAACTAATATGTTATACACTATAAAATAGAATATACKTCAAACAGTGCACCCCCTCCCCCTCTCATCCAAAAAAATAAAAGTATGATCTATGAAAGTTGCTGCAAGTACAAATTTATATACCCACACAGAAATCTAAACTTAAAATAAAACCTCGACATCAGTATGCTAAACTAATGGGAGACCTTAGTTAAACCAACTATATAAAGGCATTATCAGCCTCCTCCAAGAAMAARATCTTGGMTACACTAATTATTTCCATATTTTTTCAAGAAATAATTTTTAAACTTAGATTCTCACTTCTTTCTACTAAAGGTTACGAGTTTAAAAATTAAAAAGATTCTAATACTTAAATAATTGAAATCATAATTTTCAAAAAAAAAATTTATTTTTTCTTTGTTACTCTAAATATAATTACATAACAGTGAATTTTATTTTACTATATAGTTATACATTAGATGTGGAAGCTGTAAGTTGTGATGAATTATATTTAGATTGTTCAGATATTCTGGAAACTACAAAAGCATCACCTATTGAATTAGCCACGTTTCTACGAAAAGAAATTAAAGTAGACGTTGTTTAATGACATTATCATCATAAATTTATATTTATCTTATTATAATGTTAATTTTTATTTTATAGGAAAAAACCAAGTGTCCATGTTCTACTGGTATTGGCTCAAATTGTCTGCTCGCCAGGTTAGCCACCAAGAAAGCCAAACCAGATGGTCAATTTTATTTAGAACCCGGTATTATTATGGATTTTATGAGGAATATTGATATTTCTGATATACCAGGTAATTAAAAACAAAATCTTGAATCATTACCAGCACACAGATTTTTATGGTAATGAGGATACATATTTTTGATAACTGTAGATAATATAATTCTGATTAAAAATAAATACCAATAAGCATCAATGGTATAATTCTAAATTAAATGATCCCCGTTTTATAAGTTACATTATTTTGATTCAAAYTCATGTCTAAAAATATTTTGATTTAATACAAATTTAGTTACTGTMCAAATTATTTAATTATGCTCAATGGTGCCATAGTAGTTTTTCAATTTCTAATGTTTTAGTTTGGTTAAACTTAAATACATATAACATCTTAAGTAATTGGTTTGTTTTTACTTTTTAATAAATTATATATATATAAATATTTTATTGATAACAATAAAAATTTTAAATATGTATATATTTTGACTTTGTGTTACATAAAAATCTGTATCTTAATAAATAACTTATTATAAATTGTTGTGAGCATAAATGTTAAATACTTAACTATGAAGGTGTTGGAAGRACCTTGGGACATAAGTTGTCAACACTCGGTGTCAGTACATGTGGTGAACTAAGTGCACTGTCTCTGCAAACTCTCCAAAGTGAATTTGGAAACAAAACTGGACTTTCGCTGTATAAGTAATTGCTTAAAAATATACTTACATATGTCTTATTTTAAATTGTATGGTATGAATGTGATATTATAATTACGATGGARATTGGTTACGAGAAATTTCAGTATTTTAAAAGTCTGTCTTGGTGTTCCTACATAAGATGTTGAACACTTAATTTTCCAAGTTTTTTTTAAATATTGTGTCCATTATCATATTTATAAAAATATATTTAAAAAAATTTGCGGTAATATTAGACGTCAAAGTGCATCAACTTMTACCAGTGGTCAAGTATATTAATATCGTTATGTTAGTATTAAAAGGCCCTTTTTTGTTTTTCACCTCGACTCATAGTGTTTAAAGATTTTTAAATTATAAAAAATGATTATTAATTTTGGTAAATAAAATACATTATTTTGTATTTTATATCAATTTGCTCTGATTAAAATAATTTACTAAGTAAAAATATAATATAAACCTCATTTTTTATTTCTATCTTGATATATTTGTGTCATMCATGACAAAATGTATTATAGTATTAAAAAATTGCAGTTTTAATAAAAATTATTTTTATTCTATTTATTAATTTCAGTAGGGGGTATGATCGTCTAATAATTCAAACCAC